CTTACACAGCTCTCTGGTCTTGGCCATTGTGGAGAGGTTGGAGTCTGTTTGATTGAGTGTGCGGACAGGTGTCTTTTATACAGGTAACGAGTTCAAACAGGTGCGGTTAATACAGGTAATGAGTGGAGAACAGGAGGGCTTCTTAAAGAAAAACTAACAGGTCTGTGAGAGCCGGAATTCTTACTGGTTGGTAGGTGATCAAATACTTATGTCATGCAATAAAATACAAATTAATTACTTAAAAATCATACAATGTGATTTTCTGGATTTTTGTTTTACATTCTGTCTCTCACAGTTGAAGTGTACCTATGATCAAAATTACAGATCTCTACATACTTTGTAAGTAGGAAAACCTGCAAAATCGGCAGTGTATCAAATACCCACTGTATATAGAAAGTTTCAAGCAAAAGTTAGAAACATCTTCCAGTTTCAGGCTCCAGAGATATTTTGGTAACACTTTACTTGACACACAGTCATAACCATGTCATAATATGTCATAACAGCTGACCTAACTTGTCATAACCTGTCATAATAATCCTGTCATGACCCATATATTTACACCTGTTGTGACATATATTCGTTTTTTTTAATGTCTGGTTATGACATCTACATGAGACTGTAAAAAACGTCATTTATTCAAATGTGGTTTTTCACTGCCAAGAAGTTTCCTTTCGTATTTTAAATAACTTGTAGAAAATACACTTTATGACATAATTATATAAGCCAGATAGACCTATCACGTACATGCATGCCCTTATGCCAGTCATCAGTCAAAAAGAAGGTGTCTTGTCCTGCTCTTAAAATCTGCCCCTGCATTCATCCCAGTCATCAGCAACAGAGCATTGGGGTACATTTTACATTTTAGTAATTTAGCAGATGCTCCTATCCAGAGCGACTTACAGTTAGTGCATTCATCTTAAGATCATTTTTTTCTTCTTGTTATTCTATAATTAGGTGCATGTCTGACATCAATGTGTGCAAAATTATAATTATAATTGAACTACAATGATCAATTTCAGAAAATGTTATTTACCCTAAACATACTGTTGACAAGTAGGCTATGTTGTAATGGAATGTTTTGCTTTGTGTGGTAGGTTTTGTGGGTTTTGACACTCTTTTATATACTGTAGGTGTCATAACCAGCCATAAAATAACTACCGTGGTAGGTTTTGTGGGTTTTGACACTTAGCAGACGCTCTTATCCAGAGCGACTTACAGTTAGTGAGTGCATACATTTTTGTGCTGGTCCCCCGTGGGAATCGAACCCACAACCCTGGCATTGCAAGCGCCATGCTCTACCAACTGAGCTACACGCTACCACTTATGTAGGTGTCATAACCAGCCATAAAATAACTACTGTGGTAGGTTTGTGGGTTCGGACACTCTTATGTAGGTGCCATAACCAGCCATAAAATAACGCAATACATGTCACAACTGGTCTAAATATGTATCATGACAGTGTTATGACCATATTATGGCAGGTTATGACAAGTTATGTCAGCTGTTATGACACATTATGACATGGTTATGACCTTGCCATAACATGTTATGATGCTGGGTGTCAAGTAAGGTGTTACCGATATGGTATATGCAGGGATAAATGTACATTGTTGTGTTTCATGTTAGAGTATTGGGATAATTACGATTACCTTGTAGTTTTGTTTTCTCAGTCCCTAAGGTCCCCCAATGCCCACTTTGGGTTTGATTTGTTGTTGCGATGACTCAGCAGATGTTGGCCAGAAATTGGGGCTTCATAGTTCTTGTGTTCTACTACCTGATTGATGAGTTTCACACCTTCCTGACCAAGACGACTCCTAACGGGACTTTTTGGAGGAGTTTTGAACTGAGAACAATTAGCTGTTTATTTTTAGGTACCTTCCAACGTTTTTATATTCTATAACTGTCTGATTAGGTGTAGCAGGGTTTTCTGTGGTACTTAAGTTAACTTTTCATTAACAAATGGGAAGTTAGTGTTTAGTTTAGCACTTAGTTGTCTGAGTGTTTTCTTTCCCCTGGCATTCTCAGAAGGTGTCTGTCTGCACTAACACAAAGAGAGAAGTGTGATACCCTTTTCTTTTTCCCTCTTTTGTTACTATACGCAACAGAACCCCCCAGACAACTCTGATCTGAACCTGATCAGTGTAACTAACAGCATATGAACTGCAAAATCACACATCACACTCAAAACCCATATTCAACTCACTTTAGCAATGATTATTTACTCAAGCACTACTGGTAAGATTCCTCATTGGCAGTCACCATCACGGCCATATTATGGTTGACAATGGTTTTACCGCCTGTTCTCTCCCTCTCAACTCCAATAATTCAGTGGCGGTTAAGACCTGACTGCGTGCCGTTCCTTCGTTCAGCACTTGAGTTCAAATCTCACGGTAAAGGCGGAGGTATTATGTGTGAGGGAGAGTGAGAACAATGATGATGATTCTGTTTGGGAGTGCACTGCATAGCATAGTGAATGATTATTTCAGCCTCTAGAACACATCTGGATCCCGGAGTAACGTTAGATTGTAGCGGTGCTAATCTTCAGCCACTTCAGCATGATCAAAGGATTAGGCAGAGCAGTGTTCTAATCATCCCAGGCGCCCAGCGGAGATATGGGGACGCACGTCTCCGCCGAGAAGAATGTGTGATTCTGAAAACAGAGAGGCGAAATAAGAAGAGATGAAAACCTCATTTAAAAAACAGACAAGTTGAGGAGAGGCAAAGGAGAGGAGAGTCCAAAACTATTTTAAAAACTCTAATATTCAGTCCTATGAAAACTCTTGTTCTTCAATCTGTCGTTAATATCTTCTTAAGTTACTTTCTCACAAATATAAACATACCAACTTTTCTAATATAAACTCTGCAAATGCTCTCTCATTTAATGCATTCACGTTTAACAGCTATTTGGGACTCAGTCAAACTTCAATGATCTCGATACCTGTTAGTCTTCTTCCAAGTATCTCATTAGCTTTGTGTGATCAGTGCAGGTATTTTGTAGTCGCCGGTGATTCTGAGGGAAGCCCACCTCTGTACTGTGCAGTGTGTGAGTTAGTGTTAGCTAACTATTTGGTTATCTGCCTCCCCTTCCATGTATTCAGAGCCAGTGCCCCTGCCTTATCAGCAGTCTGTAGCTTGCATGCTCAATCGCCTGATTTGTCAAGGGTGACTCCAAAAGATTCTGATAGGCACTTCGCAAATCACCCAGTTGATCTAAAATATCGACCAGCCACAAAAAGTCATTACACACAATAATGGCGGGCGGGACCTTGGAAGATGTGACTTAATCAGGTTTCAAATGCCTTCAAATGTCTGGGCCCTGGGAGAGTAACACACACACCCCTGGGTCTTCACTGACATTACAGCTGGAGAAAGTCTCCTACTGCTCTTACTGATACACAATCATATTAACTAACTACAGAAATGGAATTGTTTGATCATCCTAATGCTATTATCATTATACTGTTACAACTACTACTACTACTACTACTACTACCACTACTACCACTATTACTACTACTGCCACTACTACTACTACTACCACTATTACTACTACTGCCACTACTACTACTACTACTACTGATACTACTACTACTACAACTACTACCACTACTACTACTATTACTACTACTGCCACTACTACTACTACTACTACTACTACTACTACTACTACTACTACTACTACTACTACTACTACTACTACAACTACTACCACTACTACTACTATTACTACTACTGCCACTACTACTACTACTACTACTACTACTACTACTACTACTACTACTACTACTATTACTACTACTGCCACTACTACTACTACTACTACTACTACTACTATCTACTACTACTACTACTACTACTACTACCTACTACTACTAATTCTACTACTAACTATCTACTACAACTACTACCACTACTATTACTACTACTGCACTACTACTACTACTACTACTACTACTACTACTACTACTACTACACTACTACTACTACTACTACAACTCCTACCACTACTACTACTATTACTAACTACTGCCACTACTACTACTACTACTACTACTACTACTACTACTACTACTACTACTACTACTACTACCCTACTACTAACTACTAACGACTAACTAAACTACTAATTACCACTAACTACTAACTAACTACTACTACTACTACTACTACTACTACTACTATACTACTACACTACTACTAATGACTTATATCACTACACATAATAGATTCAGAATAATACTTTCTGTTGAGGTGTACAATATGCACACTTTGGCTGTATAGCTCATAATTGCTGTATCGCTGTAGAGCTGTAATTATTAGATATGCTTTAGATTGCCATTTTGTGAGGGTGATTACAGTCATTAGCATGTTCTACTCTATTGATTTCTCTCTCTCTCTCTTTCTCTCTCTGTCTGCTCAGTACGAGATAATGATTAAATGAGGGAGGAAAGGAACACCAGAAAGTCTCTCAACAATAAATGACATGCATGTAAATTGTGTTGATAGGAATGAAAACATGCCTGGTGTTTAAATGAGTATTCTATTTAGCATTTCTCTGCTTGTCTGTGGGTGTTTGGCTCTCTGCCAACCACAGTGTCATTGGAGAATCTATATTTTAGTGCAAGGTCTCTTTTTCTGCGTCACAAACTGATGAGAATATTTCTTCCTATCTGCACTGATTAAATGACTTTCCTTCTGAGCTCATTTCAATTTGTTCAACCTCGCAGGCACATCTTTTGATAGGAGATGATCCCGACCAATATTTATAAATTCACCATGATATATCTAGCTATTGAAACAAAACTCAAATAAATAACATTCTGTTTTGATTGATTTAGAGTTTGTGTGTGCATTGGTACTACTGTATAAATGTCTGTTTTACACAATAAACGCACCAGGAATATCACTATCAAGACTGACTCTCCTCCAACTCCTTTTATGACATGATTGAATCGTAGCCTAACTTTCACCTTTCTCTCTGTTTCTTCCTTGCTGTGTAGAAAACCAAGATCTCCACATACGACAAGATGTGGGAGTTTATGAGCAGTCGGAAGCACTCTGTGATGGTGAAAGATATTGACGAAGGGATCCACCGAGTCCTCACCTCGGACTACGCCTTCCTCATGGAGTCCACTACCATCGAGTTTGTCACCCAGCGCAACTGCAACCTTACCCAGATAGGGGGTCTCATCGACTCCAAAGCCTACGGCGTGGGAACCCCCATGGGTACGTCCTCCTCTCAACACCTATAGCTACTTCTCAAGCACAATTTCTGCAAATACTTGATCCTATTTCGACAGTTAGGACAAAGGACTGAGCCATACTCCCACCCACAGTACATTCTCATAACCCTGAGACATGACCCATGCAATAACATTCAATGTAATAGCACCATGCAGTAAGATAAGGCTTATTATGCTATTTAATAACACAGTCCACCACACAATAGCATGTGTCTCATTTAATAACCCAGCAAACATACTACATGTATAATGCTTTCATATTATTCAATACAATTATTTGATAGTACAGCACACTAATCTATAATAGGAAATTCTAATTGTATTCGTCACATACACAGTTTACAGCAGGTATATAAAGTGCAGCGAAATGCTTGTGTGCTAGCTCCCTCAACACTGCAGTACAATAATCAATATCAAATATGAGATTTGCTCTCTCTGGCTTTTCTAACAGAACGACTCCTTTGCACTAATGGGGCTCGCTAACTAGACTAGTGCCAGTCCTTCTGAACATCATCTTTCGTCATGTAAGCCATGGCTCTGGTGTATGTGTGTGTGTGTGTGTGAGAGAGACGAGAGAGGAGTGAGCAGTCTGAGCGTGCGAGCAGAGAGAGCGAGAGAGATGAGGAGAGGAGATAGAGCGCGAGCGCTAGACAGAGAGAGCGAGAGAGAGAGAGAGAGAGAGAGAGAAAGAGACATTTAAGCACCCAGGGACCCTGAGTGCAGCAGCCGATGAAAAATGGAGAGAAGAAATAACTGACATAAATCATAATGAATGAGAGGTGTTGGGGCGTGGGCAACGCTGGTTTACACGTTGTGTGCGGGGGTGCAGGATTTGATTATGGAGCTCAGCTGCAGATTGTCTTAATCCTGTTACACATGCAGCCCCCGGCAGCGGCTGCCACAAATGAAAAGGAAAAACTCCTTGTAAGTACCTGAGTTATAAGGGTAAGATCGCTCTGAGGCGTCGCTACAAGACAACTTAACACAATGACCTGCATGCAAAGGAGGCTGTTTTTTTTGTGTCTTCTGTCATTTATTTGGGGAGAGGTTGTCTGTCTTTCTATGTTTGGGCCACTGAAGAATTGTGGCTTTTATACGCTGCGTAAATGAACTCTAAAAGGTTTTGGTGTAACAGCCTCCCTGTTATTTAGCGTGTAACACATTGTTCAGTATGCAGCAGGACACATGCCTTTAGAGAACACAACACGTTGTGTCCCATTTCCATAAGAGGATGGATAATTCTGTCCTTTATAACATCAGTGGCTATTCGCTCCATTTGTGTATGCTTTATGTATTTCTCGGTCAGAAAGCACAGGGCCATTCAGTAAGTGACTGTATGAGAGAGCAGCAGAGAGGGTGTGTTTTCTGTGTGTGATTGTGGTTTCTGAGTGATTTGTCCTGCAGGAATATTTGCTATGTGTGACCAGGGTGTTGGCGACAGCTGGAATGGAATATGCTTCATGGGCTGTGATGCGTTTGCTAGGCACAGTGCAGGAAAGGGTTTGTCATTGTGTGTGTGTGTGTGTGTGTGTGTGTGTGTGTGTGTGTGTGTGTGTGTGTGGGTGTGTGTGTGTGTTGTTATGTGTGTGTGTTGACGGTTTGAGTGTCATGTTCTGGTGCATGTGGCGCCATAATCTGGCCATTCAATTGGTTGTGCAATTTGTATTAAGTGGTTGTGGCAATGTGTTGATGTGAGTGTGTGTGATGTGAGTGTTGGTGGTGGGTGTGTGGTGTCTTGTCAGGCAAAGGGTGCAGGGTTTTGTGCATGCGCACACATCGTCGGTTCCTAGCTGAAAAAGGATGGTTTAGCATCATCACTACTCCCTTGTGGCCCATTCACAAGAGGGGGGGGGGGGTTTTTTTTTTGGGGGGGTTTAGTTTTCCCCCGGTTTTGAAAGGCCATTTTCAAATTTTTTTTGGGTTTTCTTTTAAATGGGGGTTTTTTTTTGTGTTTTGTTGTGGTGGGGGTTTTTTTGGGGGGTTTTCCCCTTTTGGGGGGTTTTTTGGGGCCCCCGTTTTTTTGCCCTTTTTCCCCCCGGGGGTTTTTTGGGTTTTAAATGTCCCGGGTTTGTTTGGGTTTTTTTGGGGTTTCCAAAACCCTTTCTTTTTCCCCCCCCGGGGGGAAAAGTTTTGGGAAACCCCTTTTCACCGGGGGGATTCCCACCCCCCCCCTTTTTTTTTTTGGGGGCGCCCCGGGGGCCACCCCCCCCCCTCCCCTTTTTAATCTCCTTTGCTTGTCTTGTCAAATTACACACACCGGTTCATCCCCCAATTACCGTGATAGTGTAGCTGGGTGGAGCTACCGTCCCTTGTATGCCGGGGTAGATTTTTCCCCGGGCCTTTTGCCTGTATTTTGTTGTCGCTATCCAGCGCAACGTGTACGACGGAATAAACTCTGTATTCGGTGATTTACCCTCCTGCGCCTGACTCCTTCTAATCACACTCATCACACTCCCTCTGTCTGCACTGTAATGGACAGAGTTAGTGTTAGTTAGCACGGCCGTCCAGATGTTATCCATCTCTAACTCTAATGGGATATTACTGCATTGGCAACTGCTGTTGATTCACAGTATAACATTTAGCCACTAGAAGAGGAGAGTACACCAGAGCGAAGTATATACATCTGGTAGCTGATGATATTAGATGAGAAGAGCTGAAAGTAGGACCACGGTGAAGTTTGTATCTAAAGGGGATTGTTGTTGGCCTACATAAGGTGGAGTGGAAGGGGGGAGGGACATCTTCCGTACAAGGTTTCCTCAGAGGAAATCTGATGTTAACTATTTGTTGTTAGAGTGAGTCTGTAGGATTGTGTTTCAGTCAAGGTAGCTGCAGTGTTATTTTCCCTCTGGGTTTGTGTTCATATCACAGTGAGGTGCTGTGTGTGTCACCCTTGAGAGTGAAGCCCATAGGAGTAGTCCTATTTTTCCCATGGGGAAGTCCCCCACTCAAAACTTTAGTGTGTTTTGGGTTTTTTGGGTGGTTGTGTGTTTTTGTGTGTGTGTGTGTATGGACGTTTTCCCGGAGAGGTAAATTTGGGAGGAACAGTAGATATCAAAAAATCTTCAAGGTTTGTTTAGAACTCGTGCCCCTCGGCCCTTTGAGTAAAAAGGGAAAATTTTCCCGTATAGTCCCCAAAATTATAGGTCTGAAAAAAAATTTTTTCCCCCTTTTTTCCCCTTTGTTTTCTTCTTTCCTTTTTTATTTTGTCTTTTTTTTCCCTTTTTCTCTTTTTTTTTCCTCTCTCTTATTCTATATTTTCTCTCTCTCTCTCTCTCCTTTCCTCTTCTCTCCCCTTTCTCTCCCTCTCTCTCCTCTCTCCCCTTCTTCTTCTCTCCCTTTTCTCCTTCGCTCTCTCTCTCTCCCCTTCTTAATCACTTACAGTATTAGGGAAGTGCATATTTTGCATTTCAGCAGGCTGTCGTGTGGTGCGGTGCGGTGCGGGGAAGTTGTCGCCATGGTTCCCCTGTGGGTCGTTTAGCTTCGGATCATAAACGACAGAGAACAGCTCTGTAAGACCCGAATGGAATGCTGGGAAATGGGACATCTCCAAGAGCGTGACCCGCCTTCTGTTTGGGCGGCGACCTTCCTGTCCTAGTCCTGTACATCAGAAGAGAGAGAGAGAGAGAGAGGAGAGAGAGGAGAGGAGAGAGAGAGAGGGAGGGAGAGGAAGGGACAGAGGGACAGAGAGAGGGAGGGAAGGGGTGAGGGAAGGAGGGAGGAAGGAAGAGATGGAGGGGGTGGGGGGGAGGGAAATGAGGACAAAATTGAGAAAATATGACAGACCTGGCTGGGGCAGAATTAAGATTTCAGTCTAGAAGCGTCTGTGAACTACAGTTTACCAGAAAGCATATGAGAGCACAATCAAAACACAGGGCGGAATATGTTTGCAGAATATTTTTTATAATAACAGTATTCTCCAGGCATTTAGAGGTAATTGTAGGCCCTAAAAGTAATCATTTTAAATATTTACACACATCCATTTGCTCTCTTTTATATTTCCCCCTGATCGACTTAACATGCAAAACACATCTTGAGATGTATTACAAAGAAGGAAAACAAAATCTTAGAACAGGGATAAAAATACAACATGTACTGAAGTGTGCCAGGCACATTGGAATTTTCCATGCTGTTTTGTGGAGAGATGCATTAAGGGTTGGTGTGCTATTACTGAGCTTTGATCTGACAGATTACAGCTATGTGTCTTATTCTGGAGTCACAATGGTCTGTCCGTTCCCTCTCCTCTGTTTCTTCTGTTGGAGAATTAAGGCTCTACATGTATGGCTACCCCATGCTGCGAGGGCCTGTTTTCAGCTCTTCACATTTACATATTCTGTTTATCACTGAGAAACACAACGGTGCTAAACTTTCTCCTCCATCTCTCACCCAGTAAGACTCAATAGAAAGAGAGTACTTAATTTCCATTTTCTAACTGCTTCTTCACCCGTCACTCCATTGGAAGACACAAGAGAATACACAGTATCTATTAACCATAATACACCAAAGACTGTGGACTCTATAGTGATCTCAGGCTACTGCAAACACATTTTCATGTTTGTTAACTTCAACTAATTTATCTAATTTTTTAAAAGAAAAGTCGCATTACAGTGAGAGAAAAAAGTATTTGATCCCCTTCTGATTTTGTACGTTTGCCCACTGACAAAGAAATGATCAGTCTATAATTTTAATGGTAGGTTTATTTGAACAGTGAGAGACAGAATAACAACAAAAAAATCCAGAAAAACGCATGTCAAAAATGTTATAAATTGATTTGCATTTTAATGAGGGAAATAAGTATTTGACCTCTCTGCAAAACATGACTTAGTACTTGGTGGCAAAACCCTTGTTGGCAATCACAGAGGTCAGACGTTTCTTATAGTTGGCCACCAGGTTTGCACACATCTCAGGAGGGATTTTGTCCCACTCCTCTTTGCAGATCTTCTCCAAGTCATTAAGGTTTTGAGGCTGACGTTTGGCAACTCGAACCTTCAGCTCCCACCACAGATTTTCTATGGGATTAAGGTCTGGAGACTGGCTAGGCCACTCCAGGACCTTAATGTGCTTCTTCTTGAGCCACTCCTTTGTTGCCTTGGCCGTGTGTTTTGGGTCATTGTCATGCTGGAATACACCATCCATGACCCATTTTCAATGCCCTGGCTGAGGGAAGGAGGTTCTCACTTAAGATTTGACGGTACATGGCCCCGTCCATCGTCCCTTTGATGCGGTGAAGTTGTCCTGTCCCCTTAGCAGAAAAACACCCCCAAAGCATAATGTTTCCACCTCCATGACGGGCATGTATATGTGCTTTCTTGAGCAGGGGGACCTTGCGGGCGCTGCAGGATTTTAGTCCTTCACGGCGTAGTCTGTTACCAATTGTTTTCTTGGTGACTATGGTCCCAGCTGCCTTGAGATCATTGACAAGATCCTCCCGTGTAGTTCTGGGCTGATTCCTCACCGTTCGCATGATCATTGCAACTCCACGGGGTGTGATCTTGCATGGAGCCCCAGGCCAAGGGAGATTGACAGTTCTTTGGTGTTTCTTCCATTTGCGAATAATCGCACCAACTGTTGTCACCTTCTCACCAAGCTGCTTGCCGATGGTCTTGTATCCCATTCCAGCATTGTGTAGGTCTACAATCTTGTCCCTGACATCCTTGGAGAGCTCTTTGGTCTTGGCCATGGTGGAGAGTTTGGAATCTGATTGATTGATTGCTTCTGTGGACAGGTGTCTTTTTTACAGGTAACAAGCTGAGATTAGGAGCACTCCCTTTAAGAGTGTGCTCCTAATCTCAGCTCATTACCTGTATAAAAGACACCTGGGAGCCAGAAATCTTTCTTATTGAGAGGGGGTCAAATACTTATTTCCCTCATTAAAATGTAAATCAAATTCTAACATTTTTTACATGCGTGTTTCTGGATTTTTTTGTTGTTATTCTGTGTCTCACTGTTCAAATAAACCTACCATTAAAATTATAGACTGATCATTTCTTTGTCAGTGGGCAAACGTACAAAATCAGGAGGAAATCAAATACTTTTTTCCCTCACTGTACATTTGCACACATTGAAGTAAACCACAATTCAAATCAAGCTGGGAAATTATCAAATGACATAGATGTTGTGGTTCGAGTAGCTTACACTTGTCATCCTCCTTCACTTTGTGAGAGAGGGGAATTCAGAAATCATTCTCTAAAGACAGTCGGACCACAATCACATGATTTCACTGTCCATTTAGTTGTTATGGAGGATTATGAAGTGCAGACAATGATTCTACTGAAATGCCATGTTCCACTGCCCTGTAAAATATTTAGTTTGGCCTCTGCAGCATTGCTGTTAACTTGACGGAATTGAATGATTAAACCAGCCATAAGCCAAGCCAGCATTATGTGATATCATGCTGGAGCTTTGCTGGATCAGAAAATCCTCATATTAATGTTTCCCCATTGTGGGTTCTCTGGGGTTTCTCAATTTGTTTTGCTACCATAGCACTGGCTCTGGCTAGTATTTCAGGGCTGCCTTTCCCTTAGTTTCCTCAGTCCTAGGGCTGTAGGTAGAGAGTGAGTGATCTGACACACTGGGCTAGCTACAGTAGTGAGTGATCTGACACAAATAGGGCTAGCTACAGTAGTGAGTAATCTGACACACACAGGGCTAGCTACAGTAGTGTGTAATCTGACACACACAGGGCTAGCTACAGTAGTGAGTAATCTGACACACACAGGGCTAGCTACAGTAGTGTGTAATCTGACACACACAGGGCTAGCTACAGTAGTGCGTGATCTGACACACACAGGGCTAGCTACAGTAGTGAGTGATCTGACACACACAGGGCTAGCTACAGTAGCTGTTGTATGAATGAGACACCTGAAGAGAAATGTATTTAGATGGAAATGAATTATACGAGAGTTAGTGCTGCGTGTTTCACATTAGTTATCACCATGGGGATAGATGTTTTGAAACATGTACGCTGGGTTCTGCCTGTCTGTTATTTTTCTGATAATAAAGAGAGAGAGAGAGAGACACACACACACACACACACACACACACACACACACACACAAAGCCTTGAGCTGAGGATGAAGGACAAAGCACATCCAAAAGTATTCAAAGGTGGCCTGGTGACCACAGCACCACTATTCTCTGCTCTTCAGGCATAGCAACAGCACAGTGAGGAAGTGTTACTATGGAGATTGTCAATCACTGCGTGCCTTTTTGTCTGCCCAGATCCTGTTGCTATTGTGTTGGTCCTCATACATACTAACAACTAGCATTGTATTGTTCTCTGCATGGTTGCTTCTCAACAAACAGCCTTGATACTTAATATTCATCAAGCAATGTTGTTTTCCCCTCTCCTCAACACCAAGCTGGCTAAATTTCTGAAGAGTTGTTTTCCCCTCTCCTCAAAACCAAGCTGGCTATAGTTCTGAAGAGCTGTTTTCCCCTCTCCTCAACACCAAGCTGGCTATAGTTCTGAAGAGTTGTTTTCCCCTCTCCTCAACACCAAGCTGGCTATAGTTCTGAAGAGTTGTTTTCCACTCTCCTCAACACCAAGCTGGCTATAGTTCTGAAGTGTATGAGATAATAATAAGGGAGTGTGATTGAGTTTTAAATAATTCAAGCAGCATTAACATCCTGATTATATAGGCCCCTAGCCATAGGGAGAGCTCTCCAGTCAATGATATGAAAGGGGGTCGGGGAGATTTCAAGTGTTTTCACTTGGTTTCACCCTTCAGGTCTAATCAGAAAGCTCTGCGTGTGACTGGGTTTGATCTGGCCAGCAGGGAACACGAACACGCCAGCCCTGTTTACCTGGCTGGTGCGGGGAGGCCTTGAGGCTGCTGGGAGTTTGGGGAAATTCTCCCGGCACTGTGGAGATGCCGTGAACACACACACACACACACACACACACACACACACACAGGGGCAGAGGGGAGCACTTCAAAGCAACACGTCGGCAGGACATTTATTTATTAAGCAAAACAAAACAATGCCCACTAGAGACATTACCGCTAATTAAGCATGGCAACCAGTTTTAATTAGAGAAACAAAAAAGAAGCAGATAAAAGGAGGTAAATTGCTGGTCCCTGGAATCTATTTCGGGTTTATTGGTGTATTGTTTGTGAAGCCCCCGTGGGAGCTGCATGGCAGAATCTATGGTGCATTCAGCAGCAGCCAGGACACTGTGGTTGGGATGATGGTGCCACACACACAGACACACACACACACACACACACAGACACACACACACACGTACACACACACACATACTTTCCTCCTAATTATTATCCATCTCAAACCTCACCTGCCTTTTTTGGTCCCTCAGGCTCTCCGTACAGAGACAAGATCACCATAGCGATACTGCAGCTGCAGGAAGAAGGGAAACTGCACATGATGAAGGAGAAGTGGTGGAGGGGGAACGGTTGTCCGGAGGATGAGAAGAATAAGGAGGCCAGCGCTCTGGGGGTCCAGAACATCGGGGGCATCTTTATCGTCCTGGCGGCTGGACTCGTCCTGTCCGTGTTCGTGGCAGTCGGAGAGTTCATCTATAAGTCCAAACAAAATGCACAACTGGAAAAGGTAAAGCAACATCCTTTCACGTATAGCCAGGTTGCAATGACAATGTACCTGTGTGTGGTTCTTATTATACTGAGATTTTTGACAAGGAGACCAATTTTTCTACTTTTCTATTAGCTTTGTGTTTTGGCCTAGCTTACATTTATTTTGTGGTTTACAAAATATACCATTTTTATCACATATTTTTATTTCTATCACAAAATGCACAACATGATGAAAGTAGAGACATTTAGTCTCATTGTATTTGCACTAAACCATCCCTCACCTCATACTCAATAAAGTGCCATTGATGTTTGGATACGGGTGGAGGGGACATTTACTCACGTGTTCAGTATTAACACTTATTTGAATGTACATGATGTGCAAAAAGGACAGACAGACGGTAGCCATTTTAGTTACACTGAGATCACAAGGACAATTTTACGTGATGATAGTCAGGTCTGCTCGTGAAACACTGATGTTTATGTAGATACAGTAATGCACCATATTCTTTAAGACACAGTAAGTATGGGTTCATTTTCTTGCCTTTATCCACTTAGCCCCAACGGCACCAAGGTGATAGGAAGCGTGATGAGTTCTGCTGTCACCACGGACCCTCCAAGCAGCTACCTGTAGACTTTAACCACCAGCTCAAATGACCTCCAGAAAGACTCCAGAGACTCCAGTCATCTACGATTACCTTAAAATGCACAAATTGTATTTTCTTTTACTTCAGATAGTTCCCGATTGGGAAGTTTCCTGTCGAAAGAACTGGCAGCAATGTTATGGTCACACACCGTTTGAATGAAAAGTTGCCATTGGTGCATGGTTGAGTGTATGTGTTCGAAAGGTGGCTCGTAAAATTATAGGTGCACGGTTTCACACGATGGGAAGGTTGGCTCAAATGCATGATCCATAACGTTCATGTAAATGTCACCAGTCATATGCCTTGCCACTCTCGTCTTCATGTCACCCTCAACACACAGCGACAGACATCCTCTCCCAAAAAACAAATAATTATTAACAGATACACACTTTTGGACAGACAAGCCAAACTGAATCAAGCTATAATTGCAAACTCTCTGAAGGCTTGGTTTTGGAAGCACATGTAAGCTTTCAGATATTATAACATATTAATGACTATATTGAATAATCCCATAAAGTCAAATGCTACAACAATACATCACTCATCGTCAACAGCATGTAAACCTTTTGATGTTCCCCTGAATCCCATATTCTGTCCTTCCTGTCCTGTCCTTCCTGTCTGTCCTGTCCTGTCCTGATCTGTGTTTCATGTCCTTCCTGGGATTCCTGTCCTGTCCTTCCTGGCCTGTCCTTCCTGTCCCGTCCTGTCCTGTTCTTCCTTTCCTGTCTAACACAGTGCTCTCTCACCCAACAACAGTCTCATAAATCTCAAACGCCGACCCCTACTTAACTCTCCACAGGAGCCTGGTCTGCACTAAGAGCTTTTTTCGACACCATCCATCGATCGCACAACGCAGTGATGCTGCTGCTGCTTGGCCATAAGCCCCCATATCGATGATTCCGAGCTCCTAGTCGTGAATTGATGTTCACAGAGTCCTTCTGTCAACGACAACACACACAGCACAGCACTACACCCACAGACCAGCCAGGGTAGACAGGAGGGGAGGTCCCCCATCAATAAATCAAATCAAATCAAATGTTATTTGTCACATACACGTGTTTAGCAGATGTTATTGCGGGTGTAGTGAAATGCTTGTGCTTCTAGCTCCGACAGTGCAGTAGTATCTAACAAGTAATATCTAACAATTTCACAACATATACACAATACACACAAATCTAAGTAAGGAATGGAATTTAGAATCTATACATATATGGACGAGCAATGACAGAGCGGCATGGACTAAGATAGAGTAGAATATTATAGAAAATAGTATATACATATGAGATGAGTAATGCAAGATATGTAAACATTATTCAAGTGATTAGTGTTCCATTTCTTAAAGTGGCCAGTGATTTCAATAGACAGCAGCAACCTCTAATGTGCTAGTGATGGCTATTTAACAGTCTGATGGCCTTGAGATAGAAGCTGTTTTTCAGTCTCTCGGTCCCAGGTTTGATACACCTGTACTGACCTCGCCTTCTGGATGATAGCAGGGTGAACAGGCAGTGGCTCGGGTGGTTGATGTCCTTGATTATCTTTTTGGCCTTCCTGTGACATCGGGTGCTGTAGGTGTCCTGAAGGGCGGGTAGTTTGCCCCCGGTAATGCGTTCGGCAGACCGCACCACCTCTGGAGAGCCCTGTGGTTGCGGCGGTGCAGTTGCCGTACCAAGTGGTGATACAGCCCGACAGGATGCTCTCAATTGTGCATCTGTAAAAGTTTGTGAGGGTTTTAGGTGCCAAGCCAAATTTCTTCAGCTTCCTGAGGTTGAAGAGGCTCTGTTGCGCCTTCTTCACCACACTGTCTGCGTGGTGTCATTGGATGTCATTGAAATAATCATAACGAAGTATAAGGCTAATACAAACCCATAAGGAAGGTTGGTAGTGAGTAGAGTAGGGAATAATAGACAGCCGAGCCAGAGAAAAGAGAAGGAGAGTGATGATTTAATAGAAACATCTTTTGATGTTGATCATGATCTCTTCTTGGTGTTCTTCAGCATGTCTTTGTGTCAGACAGCAGTTGAAGAAGATAAGGTTCACACTCTTATCAGCTCAGAACTAGGTGGAGGAGCGTGTCATACAGATAGCAGATAGATCTAGACAGAGAATAGACCTCACTCACATATCTGTTTTCAGGAAGACTTGAGTAGTTGTCAGTTGTCAGTCCATTTCCAAAAGTTTTTTTGTGTGGCATAACATTTTATTTTCACACTAACTGTGCCTGTATGCTACAATTATGTAAGTTATGTACCTCAATATTTTAACATCCAATTGATAACCAACAAAGGTGTGTATTGCTTTTCATAAATTCTCATAATCATTTTTCTTTTTAATGTCAGATCATCTGTGAAGCAATACATGTTTTACTCATCCAAAGCAAATAGACATTCTCCAAGAGGTTTGAGCCTCACACAACCACAATGTGTAGGTTAGTATGTGTGGTACATTGCTACTGTTTTAACTGTAAAACCTTGACACGATATGCAGTGTACCAAGTATTCCCAAATCAATTCAGTAATTAGTCACATTTGAAAATACCTGATATTGTATTTAATTGCACAAGATCCTTTACTTGAATGTGTCTACAGTACAGGGTTGTTTTTCACCACGATGCTGTAAGTGTCAACTTGAAAAATGTGTTACTGAGCATCTCTTTGTTGGGTTTGTCACCCTGCAATTTGCATTTTATAATTACTTATTTTTTGTAACTTAGAAAGGATAAAGAGAAAAATAAAATAGAAAGGAAGTAATTTATTTAATGTTATGAGCCATACACCTTATAATGTGAGCATTTGTTAATATTATTTGCCAAATCCAAAAATACATGTAATGACATTAATTGTATGTTTATTTGAAATTATTTAAATTTACTTAACTCAGATTGTGATACAGAATAATTAGGTTTTCAGTCTAATATTTTCCACTTGTTATTAACTTTAATAAAAGATTGAGAAACATTTCAGGTTTTAGTAGGCTTGTCATTCTGCTTCACCCAATGAGGACTTTCTCTCATAACTCCACACATTTCCATCATCACAACATGGCTGGCTTTCAGAAAAATACCATGATCACCATGGTTATCCTCTTCCCTCTCTTCCTCCTCTTCCTTCTCCTCCACCTCTTCCTCTTTCTCATGCCCCTCTTCCTCCTCTTTATCCTCCTCCTCCACCTCTCCATCCTTCTCCTCTTCCTCCTCCTTCAGCTCCTCCTCATCTTCCTCCCATTTCTCCACCTCCCGCTCCTCCTCCTCCTCCTGCTCTTCCCTCTCCTCCTGCCTGCTGCTGAGGGTGCTGCAGAGTAACCTGGCTCTCCAGGGACAGGGATCACCAGCTGTGTGTGAGGAACCATCCAGCTCCCCGCTTGCACACACACACACACACACACACACACACACACACACACACACACACACACACACACACCACACACACACACACACACACACAGGAATGTATGCATGCACTTATATATGTGCACACACACACACACCTGCTCGGACAGATGTGCACACACAGAAACCCATTGACTACACACAAAAAAAAAGTGACTATTCATCTCTTGCTTGCCCTCCATTTCTCCATCATGCTGTCATGGAGTGAGAGCTGGAGCTGGAGCTACTTTAGTGTCTTTCCATCCCAGCTGTTATACCCAACCTGAGCAGCAGCTCTGGGGGTCTATAGATCCTTGTAGGTGGTGGTACAGACTGACTGGGCTGTACTGTACATGGGCAGCCTGCAAAATACCCACCATGGCCTTCTTCCATTAAGGTAGTAAAAAAGCTGTAGGGCAGTAAAAGTGTTGGATTTATTATTTCTCCATCTCACCTCCTTAAGTGGACGTTTTCTTCCTGTCTTCCTCTGAGCCAGCCCAGTGTGCTCTGAGACCTGAGACTGTTCAGCTCAGGATTGGGTTGCTGGTGGTTGGGAAATGTCGTCGTAAATACTCTGTAATTCAATAGCCACCACTAAACAGCCACCATCAATCCAACCATGAGCCCAGCAGCCATGAGGCCATGATGGAGATGTGTCCCCTGAGTCAGGGAGGGTTTTCTTAGCCTGCCTGGAAAGCCAGATGGGTGGGGTTTTACTTTTGGGACTTTTCTATTGGTCCTAGATGGCCACTAAGCCCACACACTTTATGAGTGGAATGATATCCTAGGTAGAACATGCTATTCAATCTCTCTTTCCCAGAGAAAATCAATAGCCATGAAAAGCATGTTTTCTGAAGGGCTTGTAGTCAATCAGCAGGACTTCAAGGAGTAATTCCTGCAACTCCATTTGTAGCTTTTTACTGTACGTTTTTTTTCGGGAAGAAGACGAACAATATGATATGATATAGATATGATTTATGAATATGATATACACATAATAACATATAATAACATATACACTCAGATAGGTGTATACCTTCATACACAGCTTATACACCCATATCCAAATACTCCATATGAATAGAATTTTGATTGGTGGTGAATTGATATGATTGTTGGTATGCTGGAAAGCAAAAGCATTACAACATTTGCATGGGTGGGAGTCCTATAGCCAAAACTATAGAATGTGTTAATGTGAGATACCTGTTCATTAGGACAACTCATAACAATGTCATAACCCAACAATTGGTCATAGATGAGGAATAAATGCACTAAGGAGAAGGCTGCCTGTTAGGTAAGCATTGGCATGAGTCACTGAATGACACTCAATCACTAGCTGACTTAGCAGCATAAAGTCTTCACTGTTTTCTTCATCCCTGTGTTCTTGTTAGTAGACCAACCCAGCCTTCAATTGCTTGAGGTGGGCAGAGGCCTTATTTCTCTTGACAGGATGCTTGACCCCTTTCACATTCCAGCTAGTAAGGTAGACATCCCTGTGTTCTCTATCAACTCAATTATTTGGCATACGTACTGTACCAGACATTACCATAGTGACGTTGTAAAATACAAGTTTTCTTTTTATGTGAATGATTTAACCTAGACTCGAAAAACGACCCCCTCTTTTCAGCTGCAAACAACATTGTATTAGTCCCTTGAAATCTGTTTCCCCAATAGTACCTCCAGGAATAGCAGTCTCAGGTTTAGTTGAGTCACTCTGCGTTGTTCAATGCATCATTCGCAAATGCCAGAGTAGCTTTTGAGAAAAGGAGAAGGAAGCTGAAGAGGCAGCATCGTAATTGGCCATGCAGCTACATGGAATTTGAGTCAGACGAGATGTAATATGCATCAATAAGTCATGCTGCTATCTGGGCCTGGGCTCCGGCTGGGCTGCCTGGCAGAGAGGGGTGAGGGAAATCTGCCATGGAGAAATCGCTTTAGCTAGCCTAGGATGCTCACTGTGTGTGTGTGTGTGCATGTGTGTGTGTGTGGTGTGTGTGAGTGTGAGTGTGTTTGCGCACTTGCGTGTGTGAATGTGTGTTCGCTCGTCCATGTGTGTGACTCCAGATGGACTCCAGCATCTCGGCACTGTGCACAGCTTTCCTTCTAACCCTCTTCAATCCACCCTTCCCAATGCATTACCCCCCCCCCCCTAGACCATCTAGCCCTTCCTTCATCCCAACCCCTCCACTCACCAACCAAATTTCACACCTGTGCTTGATTTGAAACTGAATCGTTGCCAGGGATAAAGGCATGTTTTAATTAGCAGTATGTCAACACATTTTAATAATTTTAAGCTATTAATGCAAGCCACCATAACCAGGTGTTGCTGTACATGATCAAATAGCTGTACCGTTGTAGTAAAGATACTTATGATACTGTAATAACAGTCTGTGGATAAAGTTAATGTTTCTCATCTCTTTGAAAACATCATGTTCTTAAATCTCTTGTCTCCCAATGCAAGCGGAAGCCCTGCCAACCTCCAGTGCAAATCCTGTCCCGATTCCCACCTACATCTATCCCCCTTATCCACCTACTACACTCAAAGACTATGGACATGCAACCTCCATTCAAATCCCCCAGCCCCAGCTAGAACTCCAGCCCCAGCCCACCCACCCTTTCCTGAGCCAGCTCCTCTCTCCCTTGCCTGCTCTGTGTCACCATGGCAGCTCTCAGAGAGGGGGCTGTAGAAAGCCTGCCCTGGGGGAGGAGCAGCTCTGCAGTGGTCTGCTTCTTTACTGGAACTGGAGGAAGATCTCTCTGAAATCCCTGTTTCTCTCTCTCTCTCTCTCTCTCTCTCTCTCCCTCTCTCTCTCTCTCTCTCTCTCTCTCTCTCTCTCTCTCTCTCTCTCTCTCTCTCTCTCTCTCTCTCTCTCTCTCTCTCTTTCTCTCCTACAGAGGTCCTTCTGCAGTGCCATGGTGGACGAGTTACGGGTGTCCCTCAAGTGCCAGCGGCGCCTCAAACACAAGCCCCAGCCGCCCGTCATGGTCAAGACAGAAGAGGTCATCAACATGCACACCTTCAATGACCGCAGACTGCCAGGCAAAGAGACCATGGCCTAGAACAGGGCTCCATCTCTCTCTATCCCTCTAACTCTTTCTCTCTCTTTATATCTCTCTCTCTGCTGGAACTGGGAGGCGTGTAGGGTGCAGAGACACTGGGGGAGGGAGAAAGGGTGATAGTTGATTTATGTGAGTCTATTGGGGGGGGTAAGATAGATGGGAGATGAGAGGAAAAGAGAAGAGAAGAAAGAGAAGAGAGAGAGAAGAGAAGAGAGAAGAAGAGAAGAGAGAGAAGAATAAAGAGAGGAAGAAGAAAGAGAGCAGAGGAAGAGAGAGAGGAGAAGAAGAGAGAGAGAGAAGAGAGGAGAAAGAGAAGAGAGAGAGAGCAGAGAGAGAAGCGAAGGAAGAAAGAGAAAAGAGAAGAGAAGAGAAGAGAGGAGAAGAGAAGAGAGAAGCAGAAGAGAGGAGCAGAGAAGAGAAGAGAAGAGAGGAGCAGAGCTGCTCTGATCACTGACTGGACTGACTGTCTGTCTTCGTTGTTTCTAAACACTTAGCTAGAGATGAAAAGAGATTCAACAATGTTTCCTGTGGAAATAACTTGAACCAACATGGGAGCAATTCAATGTGAGTTACCTCATTACTCTACCTGGCAATGCACCTGAGCAAGGAGTGACCAAGTGGTGCTATGATTTAGTATAAAAAAAAGAGAGCGATAAACCCAGGATTCAGAGGAAAGGAGGGAGGGCAGGTTAAATTGAAAGTATAGAATATCATACAGGTGTATGTTTGGTTGTCCCTTAAATATTGATTCAATTTGGACCTGTGTTCTCTATCCCAACCACTCTCTCTCGCTCACTGAGTAGACCACATGCAGAGCTTGGTTAGGTAGAATCAGGGGAACGTACATCACTCACTCATAGTTATGGAGCAAACACATACACAGACACTAATAGAAGAAACTGAGAGAAAAGCAGTTGGCGAGTGTGTAAAGGATACATCTTGTTTTTTTTTTCAACCATAGAAGAAGAGGGAGACCAGATGGGCTAGAAACAGCCAGTTCCAAATTAAACCCAAAGCCCAAAACACATTGGTGAGCAGGACAGAACTGCTCCCAACATGTACAGAGGCATCGTTTATTCATATGGTCCAATGTTGATGATTCAAGTTTGGAAATGCTACAGTACATCATCCATCAGGCAATAGGTGATTTCATTTATTTGTGTTGCAGAGTACTAACACTTTGTTAAATCATGGATGTGAAACTTTTTTTGAATGAAAAAATATATACATATATAAATACAAGCAGAGACAGATTAGCGGGAGAGGGGCAATGATGTAATAGAGGAATTAGGTGATAGGAACTGGATGTGACATGAAGAGTGGCGGACATGATGAAAGTAGTAACCTTGGAAACCTTAGTAGTTTGAATTGAAGGAAAGCAGGACAGCAGGATTAGATTTTAAACAAAATTCACAGCAATCACACAACATGAGGAATTTATTTATTCAAGTATTTATTATTTTATTTATGAATTTCTTTATTTATATTTTCATGGACTGGATTTTCACAGCAGCTGCAAGGATACAGTACACACCTCATTTTCAGATTTGATGGGTACAATTTGGTTGTTTTTCTTTTTTGTTCGATGTCAAGTCTCAAGTTTCTTTTTGTACTCTTGTGGCTTTTATTTTAGTAACAAAATCCTCACATTTACTTGTGCAAATGCAATTTCTATGAAAAAGTGTTTTTGTATGAAGAAAATCAAAAATTTTGTAATAATTTTTATCCACACAAAACATACCGTGGGTGTCAACACGGCAGACAGCGGGCCTCTCTCTCCACTGTGGGCCGTGTGGGTGTGGCTGTCCCAAGGGATAGCAGCCCCATCTAGTATAGCCCCGTCAGGCCTAACATAACCCCCTCCAGGGGGTCACGAGAACAACCCTCCATGGACCGGCTCACACCGATGGGGTCTCCGTGTCTAGTTAGAGGGGCACAAGAGCATTCTGGTAGAGCTTCAGTGGCATAATACATGTTTTGGAAAAACCTATTTTTATCATGTAAAGGAATCATATTTAAAAGAAAGATATTTTTACTTCAGGTGAAAGAAGAGTAATGATTACACAATAATTTGAACAATAAATATATATATACACACACAAAGAAGTTGAAGTGAAAAGGTCTGCCAACAATGCTTATCATTCTACACCCCTGATTTCCAATAGACTGCTAGTTTTCAGTGCTGAGAAATTGCGTGTAAATGGTTTTAAAAATGGAAAAATATGTATTTAACAAAATAAAGAACACCTAACTAATTTTGAACATGTTATGAAAACTAAACGGAGTGCACACAGTTTACTGTTTGAAGTTGATGCACAAGTTTAAAGAAAATAAAAAAAAATCTTCACAACTTTGTGGTGTCGTTCATTTGACTCTAAAACAAAATATTTTGACACCATTACATTGTAACAGCTTGGATCAGACGCTAAACAGAACAAATATCAAAATGAACATGAAAGAAAACACAATAGAAGACTGATGGAATATGGGATTTATATATATATATCATTAGATGTGTGTGTTTTTATATATATATATATATATATAAAAACACACACATCTAATGAAGAACAAAGCAAGTTGACATTGGGCGCAAAAGAAAAAGAAACCACAGCATTTGAACAAAATACTTTTTTTTCTGAAACGTTTTTTACCATACAATGTTGACTATGTGGCCTCACTCTGCATTTTTGTATACCATATCCCTCCATCTGGAGAGCAGCTGTGGAAACACTGACATGAATTAAAAAACAAAGGGCAATCAATCTATTAGGTCTATTTGAAAATCCATCTTTGACAGCCAGGTACACATGAAAGGATTCCTATTTGAAAGACACAAAATGTACAGAAGATCTGCCATACATCTCCATTAATGCATTTATATTAGCAGTTAGTAATGAGTACACTATACAACAGTCCAGCTCATCTCTGAAATACATTTCTAGATGATAACAAGTAAAACGTGATTATCGAGGTACAGTGGGGAAAAAAAGTATTTAGTCAGCCACCAATTGTGCAAGTTCTCCCACTTAAAAAGATGAGAGAGGCCTGTAATTTTCATCATAGGTACACGTCAACTATGACAGACAAAATGAGGAAAAAATATCCAGAAAATCACATTGTAGGATTGTTCATGAATTTATTTGCAAATTATGGTGGAAAATAAGTATTTGGTCAATAACAAAAGTTTGTCAATACTTTGTTATATACCCTTTGTTGGCAATGACACAGGTCAAACGTTTTCTGTAAGTCTTCACAAGGTTTTCACACACTGTTGCTGGTATTTTGGCCCATTCCTCCATGCAGATCTCCTCTAGAGCAGTGATGTTTTGGGGCTGTCGCTGGGCAACACAGACTTTCAACTCCCTCCAAAGATTTTCTATGGGGTTGAGATCTGGAGACTGGCTAGGCCACTCCAGGACCTTGAAATGCTTCTTACGAAGCCACTCCTTCGTTGCCCGGGCGGTGTGTTTGGGATCATTGTCATGCTGAAAGACCCAGCCACGTTTCATCTTCAATGCCCTTGCTGATGGAAGGAGGTTTTCAATCAAAATCTCACGATACATGGCCCCATTCATTCTTTCCTTTACACGGATCAGTCGTCCTGGTCCCTTTGCAGAAAAACAGCCCCAAAGCATGATGTTTCCACCCCCATGCTTCACAGTAGGTATGGTGTTCTTTGGATGCAACTCAGCATTCTTTGTCCTCCAAACACGACGAGTTGAGTTTTTACCAAAAAGTTCTATTTTGGTTTCATCTGACCATATGACATTCTCCCAATCCTCTTCTGGATCATCCAAATGCACTCTAGCAAACTTCAGACGGGCCTGGACATGTACTGGCTTAAGCAGGGGGACACATCTGGCACTGCAGGATTTGAGTCCCTGGCGGCGTAGTGTGTTACTGATGGTAGGCTTTGTTACTTTGGTCCCAGCTCTCTGCAGGTCATTCACTAGGTCCCCCCGTGTGGTTCTGGGATTTTTGCTCACCGTTCTTGTAATCATTTTGACCCCACGGGGTGAGATCTTGCGTGGAGCCCCAGATCGAGGGAGATTATCAGTGGTCTTGTATGTCTTCCATTTCCTAATAATTGCTCCCACAGTTGATTTCTTCAAACCAAGCTGCTTACCTATTGCAGATTCAGTCTTCCCAACCTGGTGCAGGTCTACAATGTTGTTTCTGGTGTCCTTTGACAGCTCTTTGGTCTTGGCCATAGTGGAGTTTGAAGTGTGACTGTTTGAGGTTGTGGACAGGTGTCTTTTATACTGATAACAAGTTCAAACAGGTGCCATTAATACAGGTAACGAGTGGAGGACAGAGGAGCCTCTTAAAGAAGAAGTTACAGGTCTGTGAGAGCCAGAAATCTTGCTTGTTTGTAGGTGACCAAATACTTATTTTCCACCATAATTTGCAAATAAATTCATTAAAAATCCTACAATGTGATTTTCTGGAGAAAAACATTCTCAATTTGTCTGTCATAGTTGACGTGTACCTATGATGAAAATTACAGGCCTCTCTCATCTTTTTAAGTGGGAGAACTTGCACAATTGGTGGCTGACTAAATACTTTTTTTCCCCACTGTAGCTAACAACACAGGGTTATGCAATATGTAAGCCTATAGAGTAATGTCCCATGGGAAGATTCTGCGTGTAGACCGAGATAATCTTCCTGGACTGAATGGGATACGTGAATTCCGAACAGCATTAGTTCCAGTTTTGGGGTTTTCATCACTGGTTAGTTTGGACATATCAGGATTGGGCAAAGGAGGTGCTTAAAATGCCTCGCCTGGAGTGCTTTGTGCGTTTGCCCACACGGATCGGAAGGGGAGGCATTGGCTGAGAGTTCCCGTTTGTGAGGGTGGAGACTTCATTTTTGCCGGAACTGTCGATTTCTAACACGTATGAATACAGAGGTTAATCAGGCATCTGACCAAATTACGCAATATTTTACTTAATATGCCATGCCATTTAGCAGACGCTTTTATCCAAAGCGACTTACAGTCATGCGTGCATACATTTTTTGTGTATGGGTGGTCCCGGGGATCAAACCCACTACCTTGGCGTTACAAGCGCCGTGCTCTACCAGCTGAGCTACAGAGGACTACTTCTGGGTTAACAGAGATTAATAGAGCAGTTGTACAATTATTCCCAACCCATTGAAATGACACAAAATATATAAATGCAAGACTGTTTGTGAGGGTAATAACATGCACACTTAATGCACAAATGTATGTGCATACACAATGATAAACGGGTCCCAGTGACTCACAGGCTTTATTGGATGGGGATTGTCGTGGATGGGGAGACACTGTCCTTGATGGTAAGAGGAGAGGAAACTGCCTTCTAGCGTCGAGGAATTAAATATCCATAATGAATTAAAATAGAGGGAATTAACACAGTGAGTGATAAATAAAGCCAAATGACTGTCGTTAAGGGACAGTGGGGGTAGTGAGAG